GAGAGAGAGAGAGAGAGAGAGAGAGAGAGAGAGAGAGAGAGAGAGAGTGGTAAAGAGAAAACACACACACATACATACATACAAGTACATACACATGTTTACACACGTGATGTCGATTTATATGTAACTGTAATTTTGTCTACCGTGCGTGCGGTCCAATCAAGCGGAACCAATAATAGTAATGGTAACGATATATTGCTAACGATATACGTTTTTTGGGACTAATGTATCGAACTTACGGAATCTTGACTGTCGTCTGACTTTACGATAAGCGAGGAGAATCGTACGGACCACCCCGCCTGGACGGCTTTTCCTCCGGGTCGGTCGGGTTCTACGTCGGAACACCGCCCACGATGAGAGCCTTTCGAACGTGGACGCTCGAGAACGAACGGATCGTATGCTCCGCAGAGGCAAGTTCGGTTTTCTAACCTTCGGGATCTCTCGATCTTGAATCGGGAAGAGTTGTAGGCCGCGTAGTTCGAACGCGATGTTAACCGAGAAGAGAGAAAGAAAAAGGAGTGAGGAGACACTCTTTCAGCGTGTTTTGCTTGCGGATGAACAATTGTAACGAGACACGAACCGACATGTACAGAGTGTTCGCAAACGATGCAACAGCAGCTTGGGGGATCCGATACGAATTGCTGGTTTCGATGAAACGCGCACAACAGCGGCGACGACGAGTTCGGCTTGTCGATGATTGCGTGACGAGGTGCTGATTGCGGTTTTCTTGTCGGCTGACGGCAGCGTGGGCAGCATTATTCAGAGTTGTATATAAATATTATATTATTTTTTATTTAAAAAACGCACTCTTGTAACTAACAACAAGGATATTAAAGTAATTAATCATGAGAAACACGTTTTGGTGCAACCATGATGTAGGAATGTTTGCTTGGTGCAGAGGACGGTTCGACGGTTGTATGAAAAGACGGTATATTTTAATATGTGGAAAACGTTGAAACGTGCATGTGTTAGGCAGTTCGCTTATGGGCAGACTAATTTGTTTATTTTATACTCGCAAGATAGACAGTACATATAAAAGACACAGCCTGAGGCCTTTTTCGCGTTGCGCAATGATCGTCGATTTTGCATCTGGCTGCATCCTCGTGTCCTGTTATTTGTCATTGTTGAAGAAGAGATCATTGTAACATTGCTCTTATTTAGAAATTTGGTACATTTTGGATGGTTCATTCCATTTAAATCCGTCATTGCTGAAGAAGAGATCATTGTAACATTGCTTTTGTTTAGAAATCTGGTACATTTTGGATGGTTCATTCCATTTGAATCCGTCATTGCTGAAGAAGAGATCATTGTAACATTGCTTTTGTTCAGAAATCTGGTACATTTTGGATGGTTCATTCAATTTAAATCCGTCATTGTTGAAGAAGAGATCATTGTAACATTGCTCTTATTTAGAAATTTGGTACATTTTGGATGGTTAATTCCATTTAAATCCGTTATTGTTGAAAAAGAGATCACACACATTCTAACATTGCTTTTATTTAGAAATTTGGTACATTTTGGATGGTTTATTCAATTTAAATCCGTCATTGTCGAAGAACAGATCATTGTAACATTGTTTTCACGTGTTTATTTAGAAATCTGGTACATCTTTGATGGTTCGATCCATCTAAATCATGATACGTCTCTTCGTTCCAGGATTTTCAAGTTCAGGAGGTAACTTTAGAGGGTAGCACATCTTTTTCTAGACAGCAACATCGCGAACAGAGCAGTAAATTCGTTGGCTAAAGACAGGCTTGAAATCAATGAAAACTGACAACGTGGGTTAAACAGACCTCCGTGATTCTACGATTGGACTCGTTCCAAGAAAAATCCTTCTATAGATCGCGGATCCAATCCTTTATCCGGAATAGTTCAATGTAGAGGCAACAAGATAGTAGATCCTGCTATCTACGGTCAGTTTGTCAATTTCTGAAGAAGTAAATTTTTGCGAAGAAACTTAAAATTTAATTTAAAAATTAAATCTAATTTAAATCGCCAATTTCTGAAGAAGTAAATTTTTGCGAAGAAGCCGAGAAAGGATGCTAACACCTGTCGATACTTTCCAAGCATAAATGAAAACGATCAGCGCGATCACTTTTTATCGATGCGAATGACGTTTCGTATTAGGTCCCGAAAGTTGTCGTTTCATTAGTTGCGGAGACTGCAGATTTTTGAGTCGAGCCCACAGAGCGAAATAACGAGCCCTTGAACACTCTTTGTAACCCAGAGAGACGGACGGCATTCGAACAGCGTTTTGTATTATTTGTAAGATTTGATTTAATTTATTCCGACCTCTGTGTATAATTATTATTCTAAAGCGCGTTAGTACAAATGTTAAATTAAGAGGTAGCGCGTGGAAGCGAAACGGAAGTCCCATGCCCGGATTTATAATTTGTAATGCGATTTTTGTTACCGTTACGAATCCTCCTAGAAGCGGCTGAAGTTACAATAAATAAAAGCTGTAGCTAAATGCTTGGGTTACAGAGAGTTTTGACTCTTCGATGATTTTATTCAAATTCCAAGTCTCTGTCGGATCTATTTTCGTTGTCTCGCGTTCATTTCGCGAATATATATATACACGTCACGCACGAAACACCGTTCAAACAATCATTAACGTAATTAAAGCGTATATTTTAAGCTTTCCGTCTTCTTCGAACAAAAAGAGAAGTTTCTATTCGGAGCGCACGCGTAACGCATACGTGAATGCAACTACCATAGCAAATCCAGTACTGAAAATAACGAATATCGATTATTTGCTAATACAACGTGTGCTGTTACAGTTGTTCGCATTTCGATCATTTTTATATTTACCGAGAATGTAAAAGAATATAGGGTATGTGAAATATAAGAAATGTTAACGCAACAGCTTTCATTATTTTTCTGTAGTGTATCGACATCTGCGATCATGCTCGCCGCGAATACTCTGTACATAAAAAACACGCGGTAGAGGGAAACACCGATTAGTATCAGTTTGCGAACAATTACTTAAAACGTTTCACCGTTAAAATTGGAAAATCGGTGTCTGCGGACTATCTTGCCGAAAATCT